CTGCTATTTCAGTAGCGTAATAGTGCATTACGTGGGCATCAAAGGAGCACTGATCTTTGGAACGTAAGCAACCACACCCCGTATGAGCGCATAGCATTACTAACGCGAACGACAGCATCGGCTACGCCCCCTACGCAGCAGCGCTCTACACAAACAACCGCTTCAGAACCGAGTGGTTCATCTACCTCGGCTCCTCCCTTTGCGGCATCTCAGCAGGGGTCTTCTGGATGGCCGAAGCTGCGATCGCGATTGCATACCCCGAACCATGGAACAAAGGAAAGGCACTGGGGTATTGGCTCACATACCGGCTTGCTGGCCAGATTCTTGGAGGAGCTATCAACCTTGGTTTAAACGCAGATCGCGATCAAGCTGGTAAAGTCACATACACCGTGTATCTGATCTTCATCGCTTTGCAATGTGTTGGACCTGTGGTGGGACTGTTCCTGAATAGTCCGGGTAAAGTCCAGAGGAAGGACGGGAAGAAAGTCAATTTGGCTATCCTAGAGAACCCATGGGTCGAGATCAAGGAAATTACGAGGCTGTTCTTCACCAGGCGCTTCTTACTCATCCTTCTTTGGATCGGGCAAGCTGTCTTCGCTGAGGCAGTATTCTTTACCTATCTTGCTCGTAAGTTATACCGCTTACCTTCGGAAAACATGAAGAGCGCCCAGTACTGATTGAAAAACAGTATGGTTCTCCGTGCGTGCCCGCGCTCTCGGGTCGTTCCTCTCCGGCATCATCGCAGTGACCTGTGGAAACCTACTCGGCCAATACCTCGACCGCACCAAGATTCCTCTGCGTGCCCGCGCACGCAGTACCTTCTGGGTCATCGTCGTTCTACAAGGCGCCTGGTGGCTCTGGGCAACGATACTCGTCACTGAGTTTCGCGATTCGAAACCAACATACGATTGGACGTCACCTGGCTTTGGGCGCGCTTTCGCCGTCTTCATCTTTCTGACTGCTGGCTTTCAACTCAACTACCTGTTCCTATACTTCATCATTGGCAAGTTAGCGGTAGACGAGCCTGAGGTCATTCGTTATGCCGCGTTGTTGAGAGGGAGTGAGAGTGCTTGGCAGGCTGTCAGTTACGGTATTACGAGTCTGACTGTATTTGCTGAAGTTGGAGCTGTGTATTGGAATTTTGCGTTGTGGGGTGTGGCGATATGGCCGGCATGGTTGGTTTTGAGGGAGTTTGGGGTTGGGGAGAAGGTGTCCCACACACAGCCTGTCGAGAGTGGCTCAGTTGACTACGAACAACAGGAGGTGGAAGGGATACAAAAAGGCTTATCGGGCTGATAGACATATTTGGCAACGGTGGAATACGCGACGCATGTTTGAGACGAAGAAGTATGATGAATTGAACTGTATGGACGCTATGATCAGTTCGCCATGTGAGAAAAGAATGAATAAAATAAATGCACAGAGAACTGCCAGCTTTCCAGTTACAAGAGCCTAGAATTCCCGCCCAGCTACCGACGGTGAGTCCTCATATTTGTAGCACAGCACGCCCTCGCCTTCTTGATTCAACGTATCCAGAACCTCACGCACGGCAACATCTTCGGCCATGAACCCCATCCAGACCGGTGTATCTAGTGTAGTCTGCTCGACGGCGTCAGCGGGAGGTCCAAAGCCCTCTATGGTCCTTGGGCCGCCGATGTCAGTCAGGCGGACGGGGTCGCGGCTCTGCCAGAGCGTCCACATGTAGTCGAGCTGGCAATGGTGAAGCCAGAAGAGCGGGTCGTTGGGGGAGGAGTAGATATCGCTGATCTGAGTAGGGTGTTAGTATGGAAGCACATAGAAAGGGTTGCAATAGGACAAGGTTACGTACGTCACCACCAATAGCCATGTGCCCTAGACCATGCGGCGACTGGAATGCGCTCGTACGGATCTTGTCCTCATCTTTGACGAAACTCAGCCCATCGATGAAAGCCTGGAGCTGGTAGTAGTTCTTTGCTTCCATGGTCGCTGGATAGATGTCTTCCCAACCGGTACTTCCATTGAACAGATCAAAGTCAACAGAGCGCGTCAAGCAGCGCGGGTTTGACGCCAGAGATTCAACAGGCCCGATGTTCAGAGACGCATTTCCAGCGAATGGGCCGTCCTTGATGCAACCATCTGTGCCGGAACCGTCGCCACCAAAAGCCTTCAGCACAGGTGAGGTGTAGATGGAGCCATTGGCGTTGGTGGAAGGGTTGTCGAGAGTCCAGTCCCAGTAGGGTTGTGCACCAGTGTAGTTGCATTCGGAGCGAAGCACAGATTCGAAAACCCAGATGGCGTAGCGGTGCCAAGGTAGGAAGACACCAACCGTGTGAATGCCGTAGATTGTGACGTTGGCTAGAGTAAGATCAGTTAGTATGGGTGTTGTTTCGGTAGGCAATGTCTCCCAAAGGGTACTTACCAGCAGATTCAGGATCATTGGCGAGTGAGGGGACATCTTGACCGCCTGTCGCATTTTGTTAGCTGACATGTATGCTTGTGGATGATGCCTAGTACCAACCTCGTGTAGCGTTGATGTGTAAGGCGACAAAGTCGTCAAACCTGGTCTTCAGAGTGCTGAATACTTCGGTACCCTTGGAAGGCGCCCGCTTCAGACATTGAACGGCATCAATGTAAGCGTTCTGTTCAGAAGCATTGAGAGTGCGCCTAGGAGAATGTCAGTAGGAGCCACAGACGGGTAGCTTTTGCTCCGAAACACATACCACTCTTTCCTGATGCGCGGGTTCGAACAGCTGCCCGCAGTCTCATTGACAGGCAGTGCGCTACATAGCGAAGCGATCGTTAACGAAAGTATGGCTGATAGACGCATGGCGATAGAATTAACAAAAAATGAGTGTGGTGTGAATCAATACCTACTGCGGAACGGAACGCTACCTATATAGAGATTCCACGATATGTCTATGCATCCGAAATATGACAGAGATTAAACCTCCATGAATACGATGAAACGACGTTGAACGGGTCTGCCTTGTAGATCTTATGTCACATTAGTTCACGAGTCGTGCTTCGGTCGCGGTTCCCTCAACGTTGTTGCACCGAGTCTGTGGAGCGGAAGACACAGAGCCACTGGGGATTCGCTGATCAGCATTAGCGTCGGCGTTGCGTGGTCTTGGTGATCTATTTTGATATGTAGCATGTCGGTAGCTCGAAGTCGGATGCGCTGAACAACTAGCACCCGCATCCGACATTGAACTAGGTACCATGTCTCTCGCGTGGTGTACCTAGCAGTCGGTACGTTCAAACGCGCTGTCTGGAAGTAATGTTTCCGCTTTCGGTAAGGGTTGTTTAGCATCGACGCACGCGTTCCGGGGGATTTTAGGGCGTCATGGACCTCTCTGGCCCCATAGTGTTGAAGCTCTGCAAGATGCGATGGTTTAGGGGTGAAGTTCAGTAATCACGTGCCAAGGCGCCTGAGCTCGCATCAATGCGAACCAGGATTATGATGTAAAAATCTGGGGCTGTGCAAACAGTGCAAAATGTTGTCGTAGGTTGGTCAATTGATGTAGGCATCTGGCGGAATGAAGAGATTCTGGGTGCGATTCCCCAATGCGCGCATGCGATGCGATGATGCGCTTGAACCCTGCCAAGTCTCGTCTCAGCAGCCAATCGGGGGGATAGGTCGTCGGGGAATTGTCACGGCGACCCTGTCAGTTCTCCTTCTCCCCACCTCTTCACTTTCCTTATCCTCTCCCCCCGCTTCCTACCTTACTTAATTGCTCCTTCCCCCTCGTGAGCCGACAATGCCATCACTCATGGAGCTTCTACCTATCGCGGTAGCTTTTGCTGCAGTTATAGGAGGTTTCCTCTGGTACAGCAGCAGCAGCGGTGGAAGCCGCAAGGTGCTGAAGCCGACGGAATTCCAGGACTTCAAGCTCTCGGAGAAGACTGTCCTCTCGCACAATACCGCCATCTACCGCTTCGACCTCCCCCGCCCAACCGACACCCTCGGCCTTCCCATCGGCCAGCACATCTCCCTCGCCGCTACCATTGCCGGCCAGCCCAAAGAAGTCGTCCGCTCGTACACACCGATCACATCCGACGAAGACAAGGGCCATGTCGACCTGCTCATCAAGTCATACCCAACCGGCAACATCTCCAAGCACGTCGCGAGCTTGAAGATTGGAGACACAATCAAGGTCAAAGGCCCCAAGGGAGCTATGGTCTACACACCCAACATGGTTAGGCATTTCGGTATGATCGCTGGTGGCACTGGTATCACGCCCATGCTCCAGATCGCGAAGGCCATCATGCGCGGACGCTCTACTGGTGACAAGACCGCCGTCGACCTCATTTTCGCCAACGTCAACCCCGAGGATATCCTGCTCAAGGACGACTTGGATGCGCTAGCGGCCAAGGACCCCAAGTTCAATGTCCACTACGTTCTGAACAACCCACCCGAGAACTGGACCGGCGGCACTGGTTTCGTTACTGCCGACATGATCAAGGAGAAGCTGCCCGCGCCTGCGAGCGATGTTAAGATCCTCATTTGCGGACCACCGCCCATGGTTGCGGCCATGAAGAAGGCAACCGAGAGCCTGGGTTACGCCAAGGCAAAGCCAGTCAGCAAGCTCGAGGACCAAGTCTTCTGCTTCTAGATGCTGGGGATGTTGGTTCGCCAGATATATTAATTAGATATTGACATCTTCGACTAATTGATACCATTGCACTACGCCATAATGCTCACTTTAACACCACTGAATCACTTTGTGCGTGCATGTTGTTATGCTGAAGCTCGTTCGTATTACAAAACTCCACTGACTAGCATTCAATGGAAGCCTACTATAGCAAAGTAGAAGAAGAACAATTGCAAAATAATTACATGTATGTAAAACACTTAAAGCGCTCATCCTCGACGTCCAAAAGATATCATGATGCTAACGCGAAACGCCTTGCAAAAAATAACAAAACCATGCGAATGCCAACCGGACCCAGGGTATTCAGAGCTCGTAGCGCAGCGTAACACAACAGTCCAGCAGCCGCCTAAATAAACGCCCTCGACCTGATTACAACACGAACCGTTCTCTTCCTCTTGATAGTACCAGTACCCGCAGCGCCAATACCGCCAACAGCGCTATCCCCATCGTCACCGGGTGTAGCCTCGTCCTCGTCATCCGTAATCTCTACATCCATTTGATCGCCCTCAAGTGGGAAACCACCTGGTGTATCATTCCCCAGAACCTTTGCCAGGGTATTATACTCCTTCTCGTCCAACTCGACCACTTGCGTAACAGGTGCAGCAGGGGCAACAGCAGCAGCGCGCCGCCACTGATAGTTCCTGACTGCGTCATCAACAACTCTCGTTGCAAAGCCCTCTTCTTCTTCCAACGGCGGGCTCAGCTTCATGATGGGATACCGGGATCTCCATGCTCCCCTCCCCTCAGAGATCCCATCTACTACAAAAAACCCTTCTGACCGCTGACACGACGGAGATTGGAGCGTAGACTGCCGCCGTACTTTCCTTTGTCGGCTGCAGAGACTTCGCCCATTTCGCCCATTAGGAGGCCGATGGAGCTGCCTCGTCGTGAGCGCGTGTCGCCAGCTTCACTTGCTGGCGCTGCGGGGACGCCGAGGGCGCTACGGCGTTCAACGCGGAGATTCTTCCAGCCTTCAAGTTCGCGCTCGAGACGCAGGGTCTTCTCTCGTTCTTCGCGAAGTTCGCGCTCGGCGCGCTTAGCGGCGAGTTGGTTCGTCGAGTCAGAGGACTGGAGGTCATCGATGGTGGCCAGGAGGCCGGAAATCTTGTCGCGCGACTTGTTGAGGTCGTCCATGACAGACGCGTTTTGCTTGTCGCGGCGCTCGATCTGCGTCTGTAGGTCCTTTACCGTACGGTCCACGTTGCGGACGCTACGCGATTCGGAGAGACGAGTGGATTCACTGTCTTCGAGCGCTTTTTCGAGCTGATGGATGAGTTAGCATCAATCGATGATGTGGGTTAGTGTGATCTGAGTCAACATACCTCTTGAATGCGTCCATGGAGGAAGCGGACGTCCTTGCCAGCTGAGCCGCTATAGCCCTTCGTCTCGAGATCGACCAAGCGAAGTTGCAGGTCCTTCAGACCCTTCTCGACAGCCGCCTTGTCCTTGTGAAGCTTCACATTGGCTTCCCGTTCAGCTACGATATCCTTTTGCAGCTCTTGGGCAAGGGCCTCTGCGCGGCGCATCTTGCCCACCGCAGCAGCAGTGATGTCCTCCTGTTGTGCCAAGCCGGACTTGAGCTCCAACAAGTCACGATCGTAAGCAGCTGCATTGCGCATAGCTGGAGACTCTGAGCGAGAGAGTTCATCGAGCGTATCAGCAGCTTCTTGCAGACGCGATTCGAGACGCTTCTTTTCTTCGATGGCAGAATCGCGCTCGGCTGCAAGGTCATCGACGTTGGTGCGCAGATTCCGGACCTGTGATAGCAGGCTGACGATCTTGGATTGCGCTTCGTTATGCGCGTTGGCGGCTTCGTCGCGCGAGTTGGAGATGGTTTGCAGAGTCATCTCAAGACGGCTCTTCTCCTTTGCCCAGGTCGATGAGTTAAGCAGCTCGTCGTCCCATTTGTTCCTCAGCTCCTCGATCTCTTCCCGTAGTCGGCCATTCTCTTCGCGAACGTGGATTACGTTCTCGCGCTCCTGGTCAATTTCCTGGGTAAGGGATGCCAGCTCAGACTGGTACTTCTTGCGTGTCTGCTCAAGCGAGGTTTCGCTGTCCTCGACGTCATGAGCGTGCTGACTTCTGTAATCTTCGAGCTCGTTCTGTAGTCGTTTCTTGGCTTGCAGAGCTGTCTGTAGGTCGGTCGAGAGGTCTTCAACACGTTCGTCGTACCGTTGAACCGTTCGCTGCAAGTCCTCAACCATACCGTCCATCTCCTTCCGCTCAGCCATGATCGTTGCGCAAGTTTCCTCAGCTTCACGCGCTTGAGTTTTGGCGAATTGCTCAGCACGAGATGCTCTCAATACGGCGATCTCCGCTTGTTCCAACTTGCTGAAGTACTCGTCGGCCCTGCTCTTGTACAGGTTCAAGCTTGACTGTACATCGACCAATGTCGATGTCTCGTTGTCCAGTCGGATCTGGAGATCAGCAAATTCTTGGAGAAGCTGGTTATGGTTGGCGTGCTCTTCCTCTCGCTCGTTAGTGAGATCTTCGAGCTCAGCTTGCATCTCGCGCAGCTCAGACTCTAACGAGAGCTTGACTTGCTTGATGTCGTCAAAGGCCGTCTTGGCGTCGGCGAGTTCATTGATGGCGGTGTTGTGAGCCTGTACAATCGATTTACGCGATTGCTCTTGGGATGTCAAGAGATCGAACAGCTGTTCGTGAGACTTCGTCTGGACTTCCTGGTAGGAGAGTTGGCCGGAACGAAGGCTATGCTCAAGGGCAGAAACCTTGGTAGCAGAGTCGTCAAGCATGTCATGCAGACGGTAGTTCTCACGCTCCAATTTCTGCACCCTTCGAACAGAGGGGCTATCATCCTGCCAGCCGTTGCGCTCAGGCGAGCGTCCAAGCTGCTCTTGAAGGTGTTTGTTCTGCATTTCCGACATCTGCAGCTGGTTCTGCACCATCTCAAGCTCGGCAGCCATGTCCATGCGATTGTTGAACGCGACTGTGTCAACAGTTCGATCAGAACGTGCGGAGTCGTGTGTAGCGTTGCTGATGTGTCGCTGGTTGGTGGGGGTGTTCGTAATGGAGAATGGTCGCTTGTTCTCGCTGTCTTTGCGGTTGTGTGTAGGCGTTTGACGAGCATTGGCTTGATTGACTTGGCTGCTGTTCATCTCCTCTAGCAGAGCACGCTTCGAGTTGGCATGACGTGCATCCATGTCATGAAGCTCGCCCTCATGCCTTTCTCGGAGCTCGTCAAGCTGAGCCTCAGCACGCGAGTATCGCTCTGATGCTACGCGCAAAGCTTGGTTCGCAGCTTCCAGGCGCTCGGCAATGTCCACCGTCCTAACAATGTCAGGTTTCGCAGCATCGTAAGTGATTGCGACATCGGCCGAGTCTGGGTCAAAGACCTTGCGGAGAAGCATAAGCTGTCGATGGCATTCCTCCAATTCCTGATTGGTGTTGTCAAGCGATGATTGAACCGCCTTTGTGTTGGCTTGAGCTTGTGTACGTAGCTGGCGTTCAGTCTCGAGCTTGCGGTTGACATCTGCGAGTTGTAGGTTGATGGTAGAGGAGGCCTGCTCTGCGTTGCGACTTGTCTTATGCTCTCTTGCAAGCTCGTGGTTGAGGTCCTCAAGGCTGAGCGACAACTTCTCTTTCTGCTTCTCCAAAGATGCGATCGTGAGCTGTGCGTCTTCGAGCTGACGGTAGAGGCGCTTGTTGTCTTCCTCAGCCTTGGACTTCTCGTGAGTCAACTGGGTGATCTTCACACGATGAGTGTCACCAGCTCGCGAGTTTGATCGCGCAATGTCCAAGTTCTTTTGTTGAAGTTTGTTGAGGAGTGCACGGTTGTCGTTCTCAGATGCTGTAAGTCTCCCCTTGATGGTGACTATCTCGCGTTCAAGACGCTCCTTTTGCTGGTCGTTGCGCTCTTTGAACGAGTCTGAGTCGGCGAGCATCTGGGTCAAGTTGTGAACCTGTTCGGCCAAGTCGTCACGCTCTGCCTCGAGTTGGTCAAGCTGTTGATCTTTTTCTTCCAGCTCGCGTTGCTGGATGGCTTGTCGTTCGGAAGCCAGCCTTGATTGCGCACGTTCTGCTTGAGCATCGGCATCCAACTTCTGCTCTTCCAGCTTAAGGTATTTCTCGCGAAGGCTGCGGAGTTCGTTCTGGTACTCTTTCCGCTCGTTCTCGTGTGCTGTGCGAGTTTCCGTAGCTCGTCGAAGAACGTCCTGTTGGGCGTACATCTCCTTCTCAATAGTGATCTTGGATTCGTTCAACGCATCATAGTCGCGCTTGAGCGTGTCGTACTTGTGCTCTCCAAGCATCTCAACATCATCGCGTGATTGTCTTTCCCGACTGAGCTCCTTTTGGACAGCAAAGAGCTCAGCCTTGAGGGCTTCTGTCTGCTCTTCCAACAGCTTCCGACTTTCACTGTACTCAGCGTCCTCCGACAGTTTCTCCTCAAGTAAACGTTTCGCGTCTGCGGCTTCACGTTCGAGCTGTTGCTTTTGGGAGCGTACAGCATCCAGCTCCGCCTTTGCGTCACGGAGGCGACTTTGGAGATCGTCATGCTTGGAAGCCAGGGTTCGCTTTTCATCGTCAAACAGTCGGCGGTCGTTTTCGTAGTTCTTGAGGTCGGTCTTCAGGATTGCGAGCTCGCTCTCCTTACGTCTGATGAGATCTTCATAGCTAGTCGATGTCGATGACAGATCCGCCATTTGGTTACGGATCTGCCGGTTCTCATCGAGGAGTTCTTTGATCTGGTTCTTGCCGGCCTGTACCTCCTTCTGTGAAGCTGCCAACTTGATGTCGAGGTCCTGGTCTGTCTTGAGAAGTTTATGTTCGAGGTCCTCGAGCTTTCGCTCCTTCAATGACAGGTGGCTCTTGAGCATCTTGATTTCCTGGTTCATTGTCTCCTCAGCCTGGCTTCTTTGAGATTGTTTGACCTCAAGCTCTTTGAGCTGCTGATCCAGACGCGCGTTCTGCTCCTCTAGCTCTTGTGTTTCGCCCTCGAGCTTACTGATGATTTGCCCTGCTTGTTCCAGCTCCTTGCGCAGATGTTCGACCTCCTCCTCAGTCCTCCTCTTCGCTTCCATGAGATCGTCTAGCTGGTCTTCGAGTTGATCCTGATCTTCGATAGCACCAGCCAGCTTTTCGGAAAGCTCAGTCTCACGGAGCTGAAGACGCTTGAAGATCTCTTCCTTGTCCAAGGCAAGCGCACGTTCGCTTTCAAGCGTCTTCTGGATACGTTGGATATCCATTTCTGCGCGCCTTCGCTCGTCCTCGACCCGCTGTCTTTCGGCAGCTTCTTGTTGCATCTTTTCCTCGAGCTGGTGGATCATCTCGTCGCGCTTCTTGACCTCTGCTGCCTGACGTGTCGCACCAAGCATAGGCCTCATCCGGGCGAAGAGCCTCCACCATGGGTTCGACTGCATGTCAAGGTAGACCTGGAAGTTGCGCTGAATGATCCGAGTGGCCTCGGCTCGATAAAGACGTTTGTGAGCTAGACGACGTTGCACAAATCCACGAGCTGCGGACTGGAAACGAATCATGATATCGCGGATGAGCGCATCGCGTTGATCTTCGAGTTCGGCAAGGACACCGGCCCTGAAGAAGACCTTTGTGATTCCGACACGGTACAATGACCTATCAAGGTTGATCTTTTCGAGAATCATGTTGGCCGCGACCTGCCCTTCGAGATAGCCTCTGGGAAGATCTCTGCAGAGTACCTCGTATCTCTGGCGGAATTCCACGAAAGGAAGTCGG